CCTGTATTTTGTATGGATGCTGGAGACTTGAACTAAGGTCTTGTTGCTTTCACAAAAAGTACTCTTATCCACTGAGCTATCTCCTTAGCCCTCTTGAACCCTTTATCCTCTTGCCTCAGCTTCCCAAAGTTTAATTCATATATATATATATATATATATATATATATATATATATATATAGTAGTTGTTAAAGGACTTAACATCTGCAATTTTGCTATTTGTTTTCTACACATTTCTCTCCTTTGTGTTCTTTAACTCCTTTACTACTGCCCATTGTTTCTGAGATTTCCCCTAGAATACCATCTAATTCCAACCTCAGTTCTTTTTTGGATGTACTTTAGTGATTTATTGTTTTATGTTAGACCTGTAGGTTATACTTAACAACCTTAATTTGCAGTAATATAACTCAAATCATAACCAACTTACTTTCAGCGATATAGAAAATCTTTTTTTCCTGTGTAAATGTGCTCACCCCCAAAACTTTACTGTCACAAATTACAGTTTTATATATTGCTGCACCTACTGCACAACCTGTATCTGAGAATGTGGCGAGGGTGTTGGGATTGAGACACAGAGACCAGTCGGTTGCGGGCTGTAGATTTGATGACATCAAGGGTCAGGAACACTGATTTAGGAGATCTCGAACTGGCTTGGGCAGGCTCCCACAGTCTCAGGTCTAGTTTTTCTCTGCTTCATGTATCTCACCAAATGTTGTGACATCCGCTGAGCTTTATTCTTTTTCTGCAAGAAAACACACATATGCCCTCGACCCCAAATTAGGGCAGAATCGGGTCTTTTCCACTGTGTAGTGCCTGGATGTCTCCATTTGGCCTGAGCAAAATTCGCTCAAGTTCCATCATGCCAGAATCTGTCTGTAGTAGATTGCTCATTGGCATCCACATTTTAAAAATGAGGAGTGGATTATTCAATGAATCATGTGGGGACTGGGGACATTACTCCCCCTTTTTTATTTTTAAAATTTTGTTTGAACTGTTGAAGTTGGACCATAACAGTAGAAGGATTTGTCTACTCTCCTTAGTTAACTATCTAGGTGAATTGGGATCACTATTTAAATTATTAGTAGATTTCCTTTAAAAGGGACATAACCATTAAGTACTTTTGAGAATCATTTAAGGATTGTAAACTACACTATGTCCCAAATAATTATCTCAAGTCTGTGAGTAGTCTTTTTTTTAATCTAATCGGTAGTTCTCACTAGCTGACAAGGCCTCATTTGCATCTACACAGACACCTTTGGGGGTGAGGCCTGACAAACCGGTAGTTCCCTGAGAAAACCTTCAATTGGCTCTGAAGGCTTAAATCTTTTAACTTTTTTGTTAAGACATTAACCGACTGACTGGATGTTCCTTTTGGCTATATCTAAAGTGATTTAGGTAGCTTTTAACTATATTTGAAGGGATTTAAGTATCCCTTTAATCATATCCAAGACAATTAGAACAGTTGCTTTCGTCAACATTCAGGCATTTACATTTTACATTTCATACATACTGGCGTGGCCACGCCTGTACACACAGACCATGCATACATGTCTCTCCTTTTGTCTAGGTTATGATTAGTTTGTTGAAATGAAACTTCTTTAACAGAACAACTCCAGTCAATCCTTGAATTAAAACAAAAAGTTGAAAAAGTCCTGTATGTCCCTCATCATTCCTTCATCTGAGAAGTTTTGAGCTACACTTAGGGGCTACAGCCATACCCACTCCTTGTAATTCTGTAGATGCAAAATGGAGAGGCCAGGCTTTTGCCAAAAGTTTTTAGAGATGACTCACAAAATTGACCTTAAATTTGTATCAATAACCTAACCCATATAAATGTAAGCAAACATTTTTTATTTTATATACCTTTGTCTTTTTCTTTACTGAATACTAGTACCTCGTTTATTAACTGTTACCAATATTTTTAATTTACCCATTTTTAATCCACCCTCCCATTGAGGATGATTCCTCAGGCAAGGGCCTGGAGATTTAATCTAATCCACCCTCCAACTGAGGGCGACCTCTTAGGTTTCCCTTGCTTTCCTGACCTTGTGTCAGGCGAAGGCCTAGAGATTTAATCCAATCCACCCTCCAACTGAGGGTGACCTCTTAGGTTTCCCTTGCTTTCCTGACCTTGTGTCAGGCGAAGGCCTAGAGATTTAATCCAATCCACCCTCCAACTGATGGGGACCTTTTAGGTTCCCCTTTCTTTCCCCATCTTTGTCAGGCTAAGGCATGGAGATTTAATCTGGTACCCCTAGCTTGGTACTCCTTTTTAATACATCCTCATAGCCTTACTTGCTGGCCAGCCTTTTAGATCTCTCAGTTCCCTTTTACTTTTCTGACTTCAGTGGATCAGGCTGGAGTTTTTTTTTTTACCTTTTTTTTTTCGAGACAGGGTCTCTCTCTCTCTCTCTATTGTTTTGGAGGCTGTCCTGGAACTCGCTCTATAGACCAGGATGGCCTCCATCCTACCTACCTCTGTCTCCCAAGTGTTGGGATTAAATGCATACGCCACCAACACCCGACTCTCTGAAGATCATAGCAAACCTCCTCCCAATCTGGGACATTTAAGCCTCCCCCAGTAATGAACCATGAACTCGCTCGTTCAATCCATTTAAGAAAGCCTTCCATGGTTTTCGGCTTGACTGTGGTCCCCTGTCCTTCAAGTAACTTTTTTACTTGATACTGTAATTTAAACTTCCAGGGACTATTTCCCATCATTTCTTTTCCTATTTTCCCCAAACCGTCCCTGGCCAGAAAAAGGGACTACCCCGTCCACTTACCTTGCTTTTACATCTCGGTGGGACCTCCAATTGCCGCACCCGCTGCGCAGCCTGTATCCGAGAATGTGGCGAGGGTGTCAGGATTGATGACACAGAGACCAGTCAGTTGCGTTAAGAAAACTTTATGCTCCCCAAGAAGGCTCATGAGAACTTCCCAAGATACGCTTCCCTCCAGAAAAGCTTCTGTCACACACACATACTTCTCTTGGCTGCTGGTTATATCCCTAACACCAGAGTCGGCAGTAGCAAAGTCAGGGTGTTTCAGTGAGCGAGCCCTTATCGGGAACTTATAGCTCCAGTAAACATTTCTTAGGGCACTGGATTGTTTTTAGTAAACATTGTCTCACAGCTGCCTGCTCCCAGGCTGATGGGGAAGTGGGTCTCTGGCCAAGGTCTGTTGTTCCCACAATATATTATCACTATCACTATAAATGTATAATTAGATGATTTTAAACTTATCCTTTCAATCACGTAACTTCCCTGCTGAAAAAATCTAGAGTGTGCAGTTCTTCTTGCCTGCCCAGTGAGTTCCCAAGCTCAAGTCCCAGATAGCTTTCCAACTTGTCTTGCTGGTCTTCCCAGTGTTACTCATGCTGTGGCTTGGTTCATCCTTATGGTCCATCTCCTCCAAGGAGGCAATTTGTGATTTGCTATCTGCATCTTCATTTCCATTAATGCTACTGACTCCCCATTTGAGTTGTTCTTGTACCATTACTCCTGCCTATTTAAACACTATTTCTTAAGAATCAGCTTTAGTGTGTCCTTTCTTTGAGATCTTTCACAATTGTTTCTACCACAAATAATCCCTCCTGTTAAATTACTGGGATGTTTTTGCACCATTTACATGATACATGTCTTCTATTACTTGTATTATGTTCTCTGTCCATGTTTCCTGTCTTTTTCCCTTTTTCATTTTCTTAAAATAAATACCTAGTAACTTGCACTTTGTGAAGCAGGCAGTTGTTGTCTCTAATAATCATCATGGAGGACATTGAACAAGTAAACTCAAAAAATGCCTAAATACAATGAGTGAGGGGAGCACAAGTCCAAATTGTCCATATTTGGAGTGAAGCCATACTCACGTGCAGGGGTGGGCGGAGAGTGCACATGTCTGTCTGTGCTCTGCTGCCTTTACTAGCTAAACACTCCAAGAACCCAGTTCTCCCTAGTTTGAGGAGTAGTGACAAATGCTGAGACTAGAAGTTAAGTTAGAAAAGACACAGTCCAGTGATAAAAAAAAAAAGGAGAAGAGGGGCTGTAGAGATGACATAGTGGTTAAGAGCACTTCTTGTTCTTCTAGAGGGCCCAAATTTGCTTCCCAGCACCTATGCTAGTTGGTCATAATAGTCTGTAACTCCAGTTCCAGGGGATCCAAAGCCCTCTTCTGATTTCTATGACCATCCACACATATGTGGTATACACTCACATGGACACATGCATGGACACATGAATGCATAAACTTAAATGTATAAATGAAAGTAAATTTTTCTTTTAAAAATGATAATTTTAAGCCGGGCGTTGATGGCGTACACCTTTAATCCCAGCACTCGGGAGGCAGAGGCAGGCAGATCTCTGTGAGTTAGAGGCCGGCTTGGTCTACAGAGCGAGTTCCAGAACAGCCTCCAATGCATGTCTGTCTGTTTGCACCATGTACATGCAGGTCCCTTGGAGGTCAGAAGAGGGCATCAAATCTCCTGGAATGGGAGTTACAGACTATTGTGAGCTGCCATGTGGGTGCTGGGAATCAAACGCAGATCCTCTTCCAGAGTTCTTAACTGGTTAGTCATTGCTTCAGTCCAAACAAAATCTTTTTTTTTTTTTCCAGACAGGGTTTCTCTGTATTGTTTTGGAGGCTGTTGGTCCGGCCTGGCCTCGAACTCACAGAGATCCGCCTGCCTCTGCCTCCCAAGTGCTGGGATTAAAGGCGTGTGCCACCACCGCCTGGCTCAAACAAAATATTTTTAAAAAAGAAGAGTAGGAGTAAATTGTCCAAGAATAATAGTGTTTGAATTCTTTACATTTCCCTAAAATAGGAGGAGCAGCTAATATTTATTGACTGACACCTTTGTACTATTTTGGTGTCTTCTTTGGTGGTGCTGGGGATCACATTTGGCCTAGCATATTGTAGGCAAGTGCTCTAGCCCAGAGCTGCATCCGCAGCCTTGTGTGTTGGTTTATGTACTTTTAAACGTGTGCTGTCTGCCTTGCCTTTCTGCAGTCTCTTGAAGAAGTGCTCAGATGTGGACCTCTCCTTCCCTCAGTCACCACCAGGCTCCAACTTCTTCAGTGGAACAAAGAGGGGGGCGCTGTTTCTCACCTCATACCGGGTAATTTATACTTTGCTTTTGATCGGCTGGTTAGCTAACATTTGTTTTCCATAAAGCTGGGGAAAAGGTTAAGCATTGGCTTTTAAGGTGTTTTAAAACATTTTTACTTTGAGACTTCCATTTTGAAGGATGGAAGAAAAGAGATGATGTTTCTCAATTAGGCCACAGTACCCAAGTGACCTAGGCCTTGCTTCTGCAAGTCTCTATCCATCGACAAATTCTGTATTCCTTTTCCAAAGTTTCCTTCCTCACTTAGGTGGTTTTTGTGACTTCACCTTCAAACAATGACCCCATGTTGTCTTTTATGATGCCATTTCATCTAATGAATAACTGCACTGTTGAACAACCGGTCTTTGGAGCAAACTACATTAAAGGAACAATTCAGGCAGCTCCAAATGGTAAGTTTTTCCTCTTAGAAGGGTCTTCCCTACACCCCACAGAAGCTTCCAGAGAGTTTAAGATTCTGACTTGTTTCATGTCAGAATTCAAACCAAAGCTTATCTGTTGGTTTGAGAGTGCCTTCCTCGGGGTTTGTAAGTATTAGCCATTTCTTCCCCCAGGTGGCTGGGAAGGATCGGCTACTTTCAAAATAGTCTTCAGGAAAGGAGGTGCCATCGAGTTTGCCCAGCTGATGGCCAAAGCGGCCTCTGCTGGTGAGTGATAAACACAGTAAGTGCTTTAGGGACTAAGGACTTGAGATAGTGCTATTACTCAGCAGAGCTTGGCTAGCCTGTGTTCAGGCATTTGGTACTTCTATATGAATTCAACAAACATTTCCCAAGTTTACCTAGAGTGTGTCAAGTCCACACTGTGTGCTTATTTACCTCACCCTGGCCTGGAGTAGCTGGGAGCCTGTAGTCATACACCTACATGACTAACGTAAAACTGGCAGTCTTTTGTGCTATCCCCTGCATGGCTTGGTCCTGGAAACCTGACTGGAGTGACTTGGGAATGAAGAACAGATAACACACTTGTACAGAAAAGCTGGGATGGGGGGGGCTGTGCTGGTTCTGATGGGGCTCTGAAACTTGGTGCTTATGTAAACAACACAGGAGGAGAGTTCAGGTAGTCTAGGTAGGAGGTCTCTGCATGGGAGCAGTCTCAGGCGATGAATGCCTGGAGGAGGACGTTCCCATGGATGCTTTCTGTACACTCATCAGTGTTTGTACTTGGACCAAAGGAAGTCTTTGTCAGTTCCCAAGCCTGGCCTGGGGAAAGCTTTGTCACCTGTGTGTTGTCTTCTCGCCTCGCCTTCCCTTATTGCTCTTCTGTTGGTTCTTATAGTCCATGAAAGGGAGTAGGGGTCCTACACTGGCTGAACCAGAGAACACTTTCTGTGGTGGATACGTGTTTGTGCTGTCTGTCCCGCCTAGCTCCACTTGATGCCACTCACTCTTGTCCAGTCCGGTCAAACTGCGCCCTTCTCTCAAGCTGTCATTTTGTTCTGTCAGGGAGACTTCTTCCCTTTCTTTTTTGTTGTCCACCTCAACCCCCTATCTAGATGTTGAAAACACAACCTAATAAAGATCATTTGCAGATATGTATATATTTGCTTTAAGAGAAGCATTGGGCCGGGTGGTGGTGGTGGTGGTGGTGGTGGTGGTGCACACCTTTAATCCCAGCACTCGGGAGGCAGAGGCAGGCGGATCTCTGTGAGTTCAAGGCCGGGCTGGACCGACAGCCTCAAAAACAATACAGAGAAACCCTGTCTCATAAAACCAAAAAAAAAGAGAGAGAGAGAGAGAGAGAGAGAGAGAGAGAGAGAGAGAAGCATTGGACATGGTGCCCCAGATAAGATGGAAGAGTATAAAGTGTCTACGTTAATATAGTGAATGAACTATGATGCTGTATATCATGGTCAAGACCCACAGTCAGTGTGAGTTTTAAACTAAATGAGTTCAATTTAAAAACATGTCATTTATTTAGCACTTTTTAATGTTTTTTCATGCTGGACAGTAGTATAAGCCCTTTACAACCTTCAGTTTAATGCTCATAAAACCTTATGATATAGCCAGGTAGTGGTGGCACACACCTTTAATCCCAGCACCCCAGAGACAGAGGCAGGCGCATCTCTGAGTTTGAGGCCAGCCTGGTCTACAGAGTGAGTTCCAGGACATACAGAGTTACACAGAAAAACCCTGTCTTGAAAAAACAAAACCCTTATTATATATATATATATATATATGTATATGTATATATATATATATATATATATATATATATATATATATACTCATTTGATAGCTGGGAAACCATGTAAGTGATGGTTATATAGTGAGTACTATATTAGGCCCTAAATAACCATAGGCAATGAGTCAAAATTTCTGCTCTCAAGAAGTATGTGGTTTAAGAAAAGGGGCACATTATTGTTTACTTGGTATCACAAGAGTATTGTTGACTCATTTGTAAGGTGGTTAATACTGTTACTCAGTTCATAGCTTATATATATATATATAATTTAAAATAATAAAGAGTTCTTATTTTGCCAAATTTGTTTTTCAGCTGCCCAAGGAGTTCCACTCAGAGTTTCAAGTTTCTGGATGAGCCCTCTAGGAATTTTTGTCATTACTGGGGAGAGGAGCATGTGTGCCCCACAGGCATGCCAAGGTGAGGTGTGTGGAGAGGAGCATGTGTGCCCCACAGGCATGCCAAGGTAGGGAGAGATGCCCCTGGGAGATGGAAAAACACGCCTTTGACTTGAAGATAGTTCGCCACAGTCTTGTTTCAGGTCTGCTTCAAGAGAAGCCCCAGGCAGGCTTTGGGGCTTTTGACTTTGTTTCCTGCTTGAAACCCAATAGTGAGCCAGCAAATGATTGAACTTGCATCTCAGATTATATTCTATGTGTTTGTAATTTTGTGTGCTTGAGACAGGCTGCTCTACAGTTCAGCGCTTCAGTCTCCTGAGTGCTGAGATGACCTGTGTGCCGTGTTTCAGACTTAACTTTGATGGTGATGTGTGAGCATAGCACGTCTAAGCAACTCCTGTTAGTGAGAAGCTAGCTTCCTACTTAGAGCCTGAGCAGAAAACACTCTACACTTTCATCTCTTTCTTTACACTGTCATGGCCATCAAGCCTACTATGCCTTCAAGCTGCACCGTGGGCTTCATGACATGTGCCTTTTAACATTTAGCCTGCCTTAGATAGATAAATTGGCAGGCTTTGATGAAGACTTGGCCTGCTCAGTAGAATATGAGCTAGGCATCAGTCCTTTTATTTGTGATATTTTTGAGATAAATGTTCCTGATGTGTTAAAAATGATATCTTAAACCCAAGATTAAAAGAAATGTATACATATCCTGTCACATATTGATTACAGGCATCCATGTCCCAGGAACATTTCACTAGACTATAAATGCCTATCAGTCATTTTCCCACTTGAAGGCACACTTGAAACCAAATGAGACTGCAAAGCATCTGAAGGACTAATGGTGAAGTGACCACAGTCACAGTAACAGGAAAATGAACTAATGTGAGTTTCAAGAGAGCCTTATGGAGACTGGAGAGAGGGCTTAGTTGTTCACAGCACTTGCTCATCCAGGGAATTGGAGTTCAGTTCCCAGCACCATATTGGGTGCTTCACAACTACCTGCAACCAGACCCAGGGGATCTGATGATCTCTTCCTACCAGCACAGTCATGGAACACATGGACTTGTGGGAGTCAGTTCACTCCTTAACTATGTGGGTTCGGGATTGAGCATAGGTTGTTAGGCTTGGTGGTACATTACTTTATCTACTGAGCCATCTTGCTGGCCCTTTGTTTTTATTTTTTATTTTTTATTTTTTTGGTTTTACGAGACAGGGTTTCTCTGTTTTGGAGGCTTTCGGTCCAGCCTGGCCTCGAACTCACAGAGATCTGCCTGCCTCTGCCTCCCGAGTGCTGCAATTAAAGGCGTGCACCACCAACGCCCGGCTTGTTTTTATTTTTGTGGTTGGGTGGGGTTTGTGGTTTTTATTGTTTTGTTTTTGAGACAGGATCTTGCTGTATAGCCCGGGCTGACCTATAACTTACTATGTAGACAAAACTTGATTCAGATTCAACTGCTTGCCTCAGGGTTAAAGATGTGCGTCACAATTCCCAACTGTTCCTTTTTTATCCTTAATGCTGACTTAAGTCTCACATAGTGTTAAGATTCTAGTTATGTAAAACTATACCTAGATGTCTGTGGCTTGTAGATGGAGTTGCTATTCCACCTGGTCCCACAGCTATTTAGCTCCAGTAAACACACAGAGACTTATATTGATTACAGACTGTTTGGCCAATGGCTCAGGCTTCTTATTGGCTAGCTCTCTCTTAATTATTAACCCATTTCTATTAATATGTGTATTTCCTTGTGGTTTTGGCTTACTGGAGAATGCCCCAGCATGTTACTCCTTCGACAACTACATGGTATCTCCCTGGCAGCTCTCTCTCTCTGCATCCTCTCCCCAGAATTCTTCTCATCTGGTATCCCTGCCAATGCTTCCTGCCTGGCTACTGGACAGTCAGTGTTTTATTCATCAACCAATAAGAGAAACATGTATACAGAAGGACATCTCCCATCAGTGGCTTTTTGTTGAATTCTAGTCATGGTATATCAGATTACAGAGCCAGATTGTAGGGTTTTGTTTCTGACTCCAGTAAACTCGATACGAAAGCAAGTACAGTGGTGCATGCCTTTAATCCCAGCACTCAGGAAGCAGACGTATGCAGATCACTGTGAGTTCAAAGCCAGCCTAGTCTACATAGTGAGTTCTAGTCCAGTTATGGCTGTACAATTATTCTGTCTCAAAAATTAAATTATTACTTAAATTATAAAACCTTTTGAAAAGTTTACTGGTGCTTAGGAGATTGCTCAGTCAGTAATTAACTTTTCATGTAAGCATGAGAACCTGAGTTTTGACTCTCTAGCATGAAAAAAGTTAGACGTGGGAGCATGTGTCTGTAACCCCAATGCTGAGAGACTGTGGAGACATGTGGATTCGTGTGTGCTGGCCAGTTTGTTTAGCCAATTAGAAAGCTCTGGGATCAGTGAAAGATCCTGTTTCAAAAAATAAGGATATGAGTGGCTAAAGTAGACACTTGGTGTTCCTTTATAGCCAGCATACACAAATTTAAGTGAAAAAATTTCTTCTTTGTTTACATTTATTTTGTGTGTGTTTGTGCACATGTGTGCGCATGCTATGACAGGAGTGTGGAAATCAGCGGACAATTTCAGGAATCAGTTCTCCTTCCACCATGTAGGCCTGAGGATGAAACTTCGGGTAGTCAGGCTGTTCATGGTACTGGAAGGTCCTCTATACAACATTGGAGGAGAAAAGTGGTATCACCCAGCTTTGTACTCGGTGCAACCTGCCTACAAGATACACTAATACAGTAGTGCCGCAGACGTCATGGGAATAATCAAACACTCTCTTATTGCATTTAAGACCCACTCCATTAAGGAACCATACCTGACACTGCTAAAGTGGCCAAGAACCTGAGACTAGATAGATTGTGAGCCCAGAAGAAAAACTAATGCTGTTATTCACCCAAAGGAGCACAGCAAAAAATGAGTTCTAAGATACACTGCTATACCCATAGATCAGTGCATCCCTCGGTCCTCATCAGCGGAGCCTCTTGTTATACTAGTTGGCAATTAACACAGAGACCTACAATTGGATTGGACAGTGTACAGAGAGTGAGGACTTTGACGCACTCAGTCCTACATGGATTGTTTTTATCAAACCTGTCTTAGTTACTGTTCTATTGCTGTGAGAGGACACCATGATCAAGGCAATTAATAAACTAAAAGCATTCAGTTGAGGACTTGCTTAGTTTCAGAGGATGAGTCCATCCATGATCATCATGGCAAGGAGCATGGTGGCAGGCAGGTAGACATGGTGCTGGAACAGATGAGTTCTTGTATCTTACCTGTAAGTAGACAGAGTAAGACTGTGCCTAGTATGAGCCTCTGAAATCTCAAAGCCCCACCACACACCTGATTCAACAAGGCCACATCTCCTAATCCTGCCTAAACAGTTCACCAACTGGGAACCAAACATTCAGATATATGAGCCTATGGGGACCACTCTCATTCAAATGACCACAAAACTGCCCCTCCCAAGGCCCAGGGATCCATGTAGAAGAGGAGGCAGAAAGGTTTTTTTGTTTGTTTGCTTTTTTGTTTTTGTTTTTGTTTTTCTAGACAGGGTTTCTCTGTATTGTTTTGGAGGCTATCCTGGAACTAGCTCTGTAGACCAGGCTGGTCTCGAACTCACAGAGATCCGCCTGCCTCTGCCTCCTGAGTGCTGGGATTAAAGGCATGCGCCACCAATGCCTGGCTGGCAGAAAGATTTTAAGAGCCAAAGATGATAGATGATTCCAAGGAATCAGTGTCTTCTAGACACAGCGTAACTCACAGACAGACAGCACATACAAAACCCTGACTAGCTCAAACCAGACAAAGTTCCAGCAGGGAAAAGGGGAAGTGCTCACAGTGTAACTATTTGTAACTAATACCCTCTGGGAAAGGGAAAATCAGTTTTCTCCAATAGAGTGTCACTGGGTATATAGACCAGACACTACAGGGCACACCCTGTGCCCAGGAGTAGCAGACCAATACAACATGGCTTTTGTTTTGTTTTGTCTTAATGTTTTTGTTTCTACCTTGGTTTTTTTGTTTGTTTGTTTTATAGGTTTAGGGGGAGAAAGGGAAGGAGATGGGAAGATCTGGGAGGAGTTGGGGGAGGGGAACTAGAGTTACAAATGGGTTGGAGTTACAAATGGGTTGTGCCATATGGGTGCTGGGAATTGAACCTGGGTCCTCTGAAAGAGTAGCCAGTGCTTTTAACTACTGAACAGTCTCTCCAGAGCCACCCCTCCTTTAAAATCATATTTTTCCAAATTATACTACTCACTGAGAGTGCTTTCTTTTCATAAACACAACAAACTTTATCAAATAAAATGTTTCTGTCCAACTCTAAGTAATGACCAATTAACTAGAAGGGTGTTTCCAGGTAATTCAGATCACCTTACCAGAAGAAATAAGGCTTTTGTCTGGTGATGGCTACTGAAAAGGTTTTAGCAGGACTGAATTCTCGTGTTTCTCCCTTGGCAATATTATTTATGTTCCTCAGTTATTCTTTATTCACAAGGTAGCATTTTTTTCCTTTTTGCCATTCCAGTTGCCTATGGAGTCCCACCTGCAGGACATGGAGCCCCACCTCCCAGATATGATGTCCTGCCTCCTGGATACGGAACCAGGGTATATGGATCCCCTCCTCCTCCATATGCAGCTGTCCCTGTGGGCTATGGAGCCCTGCCTCCTGAATATGAAGCCCCTAATACGGAGTATGGAGTCCCACCTCCCAGATACGGAGTCCCACCTCCTAGTTATGGAGTCCCACCTCCCAGATACGGAGTCCCACCTCCTAGTTATGGAGTCCCACCTCCCAGTTATAGAACAACAGCTGTGGTATCTGGATCTCCACCTCTCGGATACGAAGCTCTGCCTATTGGTTATGAGACTCCTCCTTCAGGATATGAGTCCATACCTTCTAGATCCAGAGCCCCGCCTGCAGTACAGGAAGCTCCACCTGCTGGGTCTGAAGCAGGACATCCCATTTCTGTGGCAGCCCAGACTCCTGAATTCCAGGCATCTTTTCCTTCTACCTCATCTTCACAAGCCCATTCTTCTTCTAAGATGTAAACCTTGAAGTTTCACCAAGTAAAACTGCACACTAGCATTAGGTCTGTGATCCCAGCCCCATCCTAGGTAGTTGCTCCCCCACCTCTGAAGTTCTTCATCTCCATGCCTTGATTTTAGAAGTAGTGCCAACTCTTGATTAGCTGGATAAAGGAGTAGCACTAGAGGGCTAATTCCCTAATGACTTGGTTGACATTGGCTGCATTTAAAAACATAACCTTGATGTGAGCTTGCAAAAAGCCTCCTGCCTTTCTCCTTATCTGCATTAGAAACCCTTTATAACCTTCTATTTGGTAGATACTAAGATCTGTTAAAATGTCATGTTGAGAGCTGAGCCTGGTGATGCGGGCTTAAAACTCCAGCTGCCAGAGAAGATGAGACAGAAGGATGGCAAGTTTAAGGCTTACCTGGACTTTAGAGCCAAAGCCAGCCTGGACAGCCTAGTGAGAACCTGTCTCAAAGGCTATAGAAAGGACCAGGGATAAAGCTCAGTTGTGTGCTTGCTTAGTATGCTGATGGTCCTAGGGCTAATCCCCAATACCAGAGTTAAGTGGTTAACTGAAATGCAGGTGCCAGGCAGGCACGGGTGCACATGTCTATAATCCTAGCACCTGAGCGGAAGAGGCAGGAGGTTCAGAAGTTCAAGATCTTCTCTGACCACGTAGGGTATTAAATGTCAGCTTAGGATACATTAGAACTCATCTCAAAACAAAATCAAAACCTATTCACACTGAACATAGTTGTTTCTTATGGTATTCTGCTCTGACCCGAGGGAAATTCAATGTGGGGACTGGGGGACACCTAGGAGAAAGATGGGGGACAAGAGATACGAGGAAGGACGACAAGACAGGATTCTGATCAGGTCGACAACCTTTATTCATCCCAAAGAGATTTATATAGGGGAAGGGAGGAAGGGAAGGAATGGGGGGGTGTTAACTGTAGCTGCAATGAGCCTGGTAGAGCAAAGGTCAGTGGGGTGGGTAGGTCATCCTGTGTCCTCTGGTAACCTAACTGCAGATTCTAACTTTATCTTTCACAATCTGCCTTCTATTGTTCAAGCCTATGCCCTGGTGACTTGGTAATTTACACTAGGCAGATAAGCCACAAGTCTGTTTTCTCTGAACTTGCTTCCTATCTTTAAGAGGCTGTAATTCTGCAGTGTAGCCTGGAGTCACATCTTCTCTATGAGGATGTGATGGTGCTATGGCTGGATTATGCAGAGGCCCCTAACAGTATTCTTTACATTAGAGAAAGAATGGGACAACCTTAATTTCCAATGAAAGGGGATCTTCCAAATTACATCATATATGTACAATAGAAGAGTATGTAGATATTATAGAGAAGGCAGCCTTTAAGACCAAAACAAAGCAACAAAGGAAAAAGATCACAGGTCTAAAGCAACATGTAATTTCATGCACATGTATTAAAAATCTATAGTCAGAATATGCAAAGAGCTAGAAAAAGAAGCAGAGATCGGGGAGATGGCTCTGTTGTTTTCATGCTTGTCACAGGTGTGAGGGCCTGACTCTGATCGCTAGCACACTCATGAGAAACACACATCTGTAACTCCAGTTCTGGAGGTAGGGGTGCAGAGACAAGACCCTTGGGGCTTGCTGGCCAGCAGTCAGGCTGAATCAGTGAGCCCCAGGGTCAGAGACTATTTCAAATAAGGTGGAGAGCAATTGAGGAACACCCCAGACATTGACCTCTGGCCTCTTCATGCCTATGCATACATAGTCATGCACATCTGTACACAAAATTTTTTAACTTTAAAAGGAAAGAAATGTATAAAATATGTAACCTACCAATTAACAACTGAAGTAATAGCAACTGTGCCAGTAGCATTGATGACAAAATACTTAAATGGATGTGCAACTCAAATAGTACTAGGGAGGGTTGACTGAAATAAAACATTTCCAAAGATTGAATGGGTTTGTCCCTGCACTGTACTGCTGAGTCCAGGGTTGTGCACACACCAGCAAATGCTCTACCACTCTTAGAATATTTGCTGTAGCAGATTCATATCCTATTGTCTACCCCTTAGGGATACTTGCACATGCCCACAAAGATGTTTATGGAAAGGCTGTGTTGTGTTCGTTTCCAGAAGTACAGAATTAGAAATAACATGATAGTTAATTTCTATTGTCAACTTGATCAGATTATGAAACACCTGGGCATTACTAGGATACACCCTTGGGTGTGTCTGTAAGGGTGTTTTCAGAGGTATAATTGAGAAAAATCAATCTGAATGTGGTCAATACTGTCCCATGTGCTAGGATCCTCAACAGAATAGAAAGGGCATAAGGAGAAAGGGCAGTGGGCACTGCCACCCCTCTTCTGCTTCCTGGTCAGGGCTGTGGACCAGCCACACCCACCACAGGTCTTCCCTATGAGGATGGGCTGTATTCCTTTGAACTGTGAGCCCCAAATACCCTTTCTCCTTGAAGTTGCTGTTTGGTCAGAGTAGTGAGAAGAGTAATTAACAAAACATATGCCCATTAATGTGAAGCCTAGAAACGGGTACACTTGCTTTATATACTAACCATTTCCAAGACTTAAATTAGGAAATCAGATGTGGGAGGTATATCAGTCTTCAACTCCATCAGAATGAAACCCTTTAATAGCACATTTGTAGCAAATATATTTTAAACTGTGTACAGTTTAATCCTAACATTTGGTGACTCAGAATCAAAGATTCAAGGCCTGTTGGGCCATACAGTGAGACTTTCTCAAGAAAACAAAAATATATTTACATGCAATATTTTGTAATATGTCATACATAGTCAGTGAAATTTGTCAATTGTTACACATGATTCCACACAATTTCAACTAAAATTATACCATAAATGTCATAGATGAGGGTATAGAAGTAATTAGTCAAGTTTTAAGGGTATGTGTGTATGTGTGTAGGCCTGGTGTCTATGGAGGCAAGAGGTCTGATACCTTGGAATTGGGGTTATAGATGGGTCTGAATCCATATGGGAGGTCTGGGAATAAAACCTTAATCCTCTGCAAGAGCAGAAAATACTTTTAGCTGTTGCGATATCTCTCCAGATGGCAGGATTTTCTCTGTGTAACAGCCCTGAATGTCCTGGAACTCCCTCTGTAGACCAGGCTGGCTTCCAACTCACAGAGATCTGCCTGCCTTTGCTTCTGGGGAGTGATGGGATTAAAGGGGTGTGCCACCACCACCTAGCAGGTCTTGTTGTTAAAACTTGTGTGTGTGTGTGTGTGTGTGTGTGTGTGTGTGTGTGTGTGTCTGTGATGGGGGGATGCACATATGAGTGAATACAGGTTCCTGGGAAGACCAGCAGACATTAGATCCTCCTGGAGCTGGGATTACAGGCATTTGTAAGTCATCTCTTCAGCCATTGTAAAGCAATGCTTAGTGGATCATTCTAGTGAGAGAATGGAAGATAAGAATACTGAGAGAAATACAAACAGTTGGGGCCCACGTTACGAGCATTCCTTCCCACCAACCTGGTCCCACAAACTCATCAACCCCAAATGAGCACTCAGAGACTTATGTTACTATGACACTGTTGACCCCTTGGAAAGGGCTTCTTTTTTTTTCTTTAAATTAGAAACAAGCTTGCTTCGCATGTCAATCCAAGCTCCCTCCCCTCCTCCCCCACCCCCACCAGGCTCCCCCAGCCCCACACCCAATCCCCATTCCTTTCCCCAGGGAGGGTAAGGCCCTCCATGGGGCATCTCCAGAGTCTGTCATTTCATTCAGGGAAGGGCCTAGGCCCTCTCCCAAGTGTTCAGGCTGAGAGAGCATCCCTCATTGTGGGATGGGCTTCCAAAGTCCATTTGTATGCCAGGGATAAATATTGATCTATTACCCAAGACCCCATAGATTGCCAAGGCCTCCTCACTGACACCCACATTCAGGGGGTCTGAATCAGTCTCATGCTGGCCAGCCATCCGGGGTCCAAGAGCTCCCCCTTGTTCAGGTCAGCTGTTTCTGGGGGTTAAACCAGCCCAGTCTTGACCTCTTTGCTCATCAGTCCTCCCTCTTTGTCACTGGATTTCAGGAGTTCAGTTCAGTGTTTAGCTGTGGGTGTCTGCCTCTACTTCTGTCTGTCACTGGATGAAGGTTCTGTTTCCCAGACTCTCTGGCAGTGAGATTGTAGTCTGACACTTCCCTGATCCCTGATCCATGTCTAAAATCTATATATGAGTGAGTACATACTATGTTCATCTTTTTTGTTACTGGGTTACCTCACTCAGGATGGTTTCTTCTAGTGTCATCCATTTACCTGCAAATTTCAAGATTCCATTGTTTTTGTCCCACTGAATAGTACTCCATTGTGTAAATGTACCACATTTTCTTTATCCACTCTTCAGTTGAGGGGCATCTAGGTTGCTTCCAGGTTCTGGCTATTACAAATAATTCTGTTATGAACATAGTGGAACAGATATCCTTGTATGAATGTGCATCCTTTGAGTATATGCCTAAGAGTGGAATTGCTGGGTCTTGTGGTAGACTGATTTCCATTTTCCTGAGGAGTCTCCATACTGATTTCCAAAGTGTCTGTAGGAGTTGGCACTCCCACCAGCAGTGGAGGAGTGTTCCCCTTTCTCCACATCCTCTCCAGCATAAACTGTCATTGGTGTTTTTGATTTTAGATGACACTGTTGGCCCCAAGCTATGGCTTCTTATTGTCTTAATTATTAACCCATAACTACTAATCTATGTTTATCTACATGGTCTTCTCCTACGGGAGAACGACTAACTCATGTCCTCTCTTCCAGGGATCAAATGACGAATCCTACTCTGCCTACACTTCCCAGAATCCTCCTTGTCTCCTAGTTCCACCTATCATTCTACCTCATTGGCTGAACAGTGCTTTATTCATTAACCAGTAAGAGAAACATACTTACAGAAATACATCTCTCATCAGGCCCCACTCATGAATTTTCAGAGGGAAGCAAGGGCTCTTTCATGAACTGGGCAAGGGGGCATTTCTGTCATGTTTTGGTCAAGAATCTGGCTTTATTCTGCTCAGATATTGAGAACTTGAAGTTGAATTTAAAGATAATGGATTTAAAGATAATGGAAGAATTTGGTGGAGGAAGGGCACGTCCCTTGAGACGTGAGTGGCCAGGTCCTGCCCCAGACTATTCTAATGGCCATAGTGGCCTTTCCAGCCACTTGAGACACAGGTAGCCAAGTTCCACCCTACAGGAAAAAAAGAGCCCAAGATCAGGCCACAGAATTCCACCAATC